GTAGAATTCTCCTTTCTGTGTTGCCGGAAAAGGGGGCCGGAAGTATTTTTGCGCAGAACTTTTCTCTGCGTAGGCGGCTTTCAGCCGCGCTTAGGGATTAAAACCCCTTACTAAGTAGAAGTAAATTATTCATATTAGAAAAAACGAAATTATCCATATGCACACTTTCGTTAGAAAACCGAAATAATGCATGCATGCACAATTTCAGTTCAAAACCGAAATAATGCATATGGCAAAAACCGAAATAAAGCATACATGCACAGTTTCGGATGAAACCCGAAATAATGCATATGTGAAAGACGAAGGTATGCATACATGCACAGTTTCGGTTGAAAACCGAAATAATGCATATAACAAAAACCGAAATAATGCATGCATGCACAGTTTCGGTTGAAAACCGAAATAATGCATATGAAAAACCCGAAGTAATGCATACATGCACAGTTTCGGTTGAAAACCGAAATAATGCATATGAGAAAATACCGAAATTATGCATATGCATACTTTCGTTTTAAAAGCGAAATAATGCATATGAAAAATAACGAAGTAATGCATACATGCACAGTTTCGGTTTAAAACCGAAATAATGCATATGGTAAAAACCGAAATAAAGCATACATGCACAGTTTCGGTTGAAACCGAAATAATGTCTAAATGCACAGTTTCCATATGCGCAATTTCGGTGCCCCACATGCGGTGCCGGAACTGCAACTGCTTGGACATACCACAATGTGTGCAAATTGCTTGGGCGCTCATTCAGCGTCCTACAAAGATTGTCACTGTATGAACAACAAAACCAAATACTCAAAATTATAGCCCTGTATGTAGCTCTCAAGAAAACGGTCAAGAAAAAATTGCCATTATTTCGCGTGTGTGTCCAAGGAATTTTGACATTTTTGATACCTCACAGCATGTTGCCTCACTCTTTCCGCAAGAAATAATGGAACGAGCATATATTTCTGTTGCAAACCTGGGTTGCCTTGTGCTCTTTTTTCACAAAAAACTTTAGAAAACTGTAGTAGAAAGCGTAGTAAATTTCTTAAGAACTGCGTACTGCCTTAAGGAAATTTGACTCAAGAAAATTTCTTAGCCATTTCTTGTACTTCATTTTATATGGAGTTTTTGCTTTTCTTGAGAGCTGCATACAGGCCTTAAAACACAAAACAAATGTAGCTATAATGAAGCAGACGTCTGTATAAAATACAAAACCCATTGTGCGGTAATCTGAAACAAACTTACTCTTCGGTCACGAATCCCACACAACCTGCTTTCCTTCAACCAAACTCGCATAACTCAAACGTTGATTCTCTTGTAAATAATGGCTGCAACGCTACATCAACATCGCAAAATAAAAGCGAAGCAAACCACAGCACATCCGATCTACAAACTTTACTATCTTCCTTTAAAACTTCACTCAGCCCTCTTCCCTGCACAAACATTGGATCATATGCCAACTCAAACAAAAAGCTCCCGTCAGCCTGTTCTCAAGCATCTACAACCAGTGTTGCCGCGGCGCTCAGAAGAAATGTATCACCAAAATTCCCTAAAATGGATCAAAAGAATCATGAAAAAAAGGTTAAGTATCGAAGTATCAGTCTTCAATAAAACTTATAATTCTTAAATTAAAATGGTAGTTTGAATTTTTAGTTGTGATCGTTGACAGTTTGTATTAATATTTTTTGCTTTTTATATAATATACAGAGTGAAAATAAAGCTTTTATACTCGGTAACAGTTGAATTCATTTGCATACTTAAGTAAAATCACGTATCAAATTGGTGTTTAACACTGTAAACAATTAAAAGTAATTTTCACAATACTTACCGGATTACTCTAGATAAAATTCTTAAGGCAGTGTTACACGATTGGTACACTTGTACATATTGGCCGTTACAGAGTAGAGTTGTTTGTAAATTCTTTTATTGAGTTGAACTCAAATTTCTAAAGAACACCCCTCTGTGACTGCCAAAATATAATATTCTATACAAATGTACCAATCGTGTGACACTGCCTTTAGCCCAATATCACATCCGACAGCTTCAAAAACAAAAAGGAAAAGGAACGACAATATTAGCCTGTTATCGCATTCCATGATATAGTGAGAAAATTTTTCGCAAAATATATGATAAATGTGTGAAAGGAAAAACTTCGGACTATTTCGGACCAAATCCTGGAGTACGGGAAGAGGTTAGTTGTCTGTAGCTAACAGTGGTGCCATATGCAGATTAAAGGTGTTATGTTCAATGAAAGGAAGCAAACTTAATGTGTGGCCACAAAATCATAAAAGTCTTAAGATGGGAAGAGTTACCCTAGACTTGTAAAGTAAAATGTACCACAATTTATAATAAGCTAAAAATAAAAGTATATTTTAAAAATTCGATGAAAAACGTATCATTTTGGACACGTCATCTGTTCCTACTCAAAGCTCTCTTCCCATCACAAGCCAAAACATCTCAGTCAGCACTCAAAACAACTCCACCACCACAAACTGTTCTCAGTGCTACTCATCTCTCATTTCAGAACAACATCAATTAACACAACATCACTCATTCTTTCTCATCTCCCAGCATCACGTCAACACGGACAATTTCAGCAGCAAAAAAACCAAATATCCACTCAAGCAATCTTAGTAGCGATCATCCAGACCGCATATTATAGGTTATTGTTTTGCCTTAAAATAACCGAATACTATAAAATTTTCGTTTAAATAGTTACTTGATGATCCTCAATATTCTCCAATGGAATATGAAAGGATATTTTAACAACTACACTAAGACTAACTAAGACAACTAAGAAACTCTAATAAAAGATCGCAAACCTCAATTAATTTGCCACCAACTCATCTGAAACATAATTTTATACCTTATACCCCTAAACAATACTCAGCCTACCTACACAACTCCCCTCAAATTAATCATTGTAAGCAAGGATTGTGGATTACTCATCCATAAAAGCCTCTCTCACAAAAGCATACGCATCAATTCAAACATATCAGTAATAGCTGCCGAAACAAATCTTAAGTACCCAAGTACAGTATTCTCTATTCACATTCCTCTCGAACAACACTTTTCGCATTCTGATCTACACAATATTATTTCTAACGTCAATACCCCAATAATACTCTGCGGTGACTTTAATAGCCGGAGTCCACTATAGGGTTCACCAAAGGCCAATCGCAAAGGCATGGTAATTGAGTACTTAGCTCAAACCTATCTATACTTACTGACAATAGCACAACTCACTTCTCCACACACAAAACCTTTACTCATATAGACTTGACATTATGTTCATCACAATTACTTCCGCTTTCCTCATGGTTTACACTAGATGATTCACACAACAGCGACCACTTCCGTATAGTATGCTCTATCTCACTGTCAACTCCAAATACCAAAATCCACTACAAAACTTTCAATTCTAACACTGCCAGACTGGCAGACTGGGCAAAGTACAAGGTTACATTTCTCTCAAGTAAGCTACGGGACGTTGATGTACACAACGCCAACAAAGAGGCGCCTAGGATCCAGAAAACCATTCGAAATGCAGCGAGCTTTTCAATTCCACATGCTTCCATCCGTTTACCTGGAAGAAAAGTACCCTGGTGGACTCTATAACTTAATACTCTACGTAACGAAAAAGTATTTGCTTGGAGGAAATAACGTAAATCGCTTTGTCCTTCCGATCTAATTGCCTACATCAAATACAACGCTATATTTAATAAAAAAAAAATAGCCAAACGAAAGAGCTTCGAGGAGTTACAAAAAAGCTTAATCCCTACTCCGAAGTCGAAAACATATGGAAGGGTGTTAAAAATTTAACAGAAATATATACACCCAAATCACTCCGGTATATAACTGTAAACACCAAAGTCTTCACCAGTCCGTCCGAAATTTCGACAGAATTTGCCCAACACAATTGTAAGGAATCAGAAGCATCTAATTTCTTTCCCCAATTCATACAACTAGCAGTACATATTCAGCACATGACGGCCGCCGATAGCCCAGATCATTTAGCCCTACAACTCGAAAGTTATATAAATGCTAACGAACTAGAAGCTGCTTTTAAAGCAACTAAAGGTACCACCCCAGGGTTTAACAAAATAAATCATCAAATGCTCCGTCATACTCCTGAACCAATCAAACACCGCCTGCTCAAACTTTACAATTCAATCTTAAGCGCTAGTGTGATCCAGCAAAGTTTTAAGACAGCTGTCGTCGTTCCAATTGATAAACCGAAAAGAGACCCTAGTACTATCGAGAGTTATAGGCTAATTTCTCTTATACCATGCATAAGCAGAGTCATGGAGTAAATCATATAAAAAAGACTGATGTGTATTTAAATAAAAAAAAACGTACTATATCCTTTTCAAGTGGGTTTCAAATCCGGTACAAGCACTTTAGATGCCCAGATCTTCTTGGACCTCCACATCTCAAAAAATCTCTCCACAATAAATCATACCTCCATACTCGCAATCGGCTTTAAAAAGGCTTTTGATAACATCGGTTATCGCCCACATTCCCATTGCACAATGGTATTCCCCAAGGGTCACTCTTTTCGGTAACCCTATTTCTTATAGCATTTGTAGACCTAAGCAAACTTTTAACTGAACAAAGTAATATCAGGCATTGCCTACACGCTATGATCTTTATTTAATATGCAATAAGAAAACTATATCCGACATCATTAATGACATTCAACAACATTCGGGTGCTCTCATTTCACTTGAGAAATGCAAGCACCTACATGTTTGCAGAAAACACAATTGCCATCAATTAAACATTAAGTTTAACAATTTAACGATTTTGAATCTTGAGTCTGTAAATATACTAGGTGTTATATTTGATCATAAGCATAGCTTTAAGTATCACTGTATTAGCCTAAGAAATGCACTAACTACCAGGCTTAACATAATAAAGTATTTAAGTGCACGAAGTATGTTCATACTAACACTCTACTCAGCATTACTAAACTCACAATTTAAAACTCGCTTTTCAAAAGCGAAATAAAGTCAACAAAAATTTGGAAATAAGGTAAATGATGCTATTTCCTCATTCCAATGGAAATAACGTCAACAATGCTTAAAGTATGTCGAAACAAAGAAAGAAATATTGTTCTTGCATCGTACGTGAGCAGTGTTGCAGAGAAAATTTCGTTTGGAGCTAACACGGTCAAAAAAAAAGAGCTAAAAAGAGGTAAATAATACCAATAGTAGCTAAAATGAAGAGCTACATATTTTTTTTTAAGGGTGAGCATTTATTGACGTAAGGTTTTTTTACATATTCGGCAATTCTAATAAAAACAACGAATTTTATAAGTTTAAGTGCTGAAAAAATCTCTTAAAACCAAAGCAAGGTGCATATATTTCTGAATCGTTGCTATGGCACTTATAAGAGTGTACTAAAAATACTTTACAAACTGTTAAAGTCTGTAGTTTCAAATATTTGGATAAAAAATTTTTTTCGCAAAATTTTTCTGGAAAGTTTTACTTCCAGCTCTCCTTAAAGGTAAAATTCGTAAAGTAAAACAAAATCCGCGCTATCAGAAACGCATTTTATTCTAATTAATTTTTTTTAACCTAGATCCAAGAGTTTATGGTGGATACACTGCGTCTCGAAATTTTCCATTTTATCAACGCTTTAGTTTTGGCTTATATGTATACAGGGTAGGGGAAGGTAGGTGGGGGGGGTGAGCTCCCTGATAAACAAAAAACTTTCAGGTAAAAGTGTCACCGTTTTTTAAATATTTACATTTTATCGAATTAAAAAAAAATCGTGCCTTTTCATGTGTTTTCTTTAACTGCAACTACAAACCGGGCAATACTTAGTAAATTTTTTATGTAAAATACTTCCAGATAGTTGCCTCTCCATACTCAAATGCAATGTAGTTAAAATATATTAAGGAACCATCATAAAATTAGGACTATTTCTGGATTCTTAACTTTTTGATATTTTCTTCCCCAACTTTGACTATCTCGGGTGAAAAAAATGTACTGAGCTATAACTTTACATTACATAAAAAACTTGCTCATTTCATAAAGATTTCAGAAAGGTGCCACACTTACTGTTTCGAATAGAAAAAAAAAGTTATAGCCGCTTTTGGGGGTAAAGGACTGAGACACGCTGGAATGTATTTAATAGATTTAAATTGAATTTGCTCTTGTTACCATCAAATGACATGCTAAATAGTACAAAGGTACATAATTACTTGTTTCTGACATTATTTTATGTTACTTACCGGAATTCGGACTAGAGTCTATAACAAGGGCTATATCTATCAATATTTTGTGTGAAGGATGGGTTAACGTGAAATAAGATATACATGAGTTGTTTGAAGAAAAATTTATTCATTTATTGATAAAATATGCTCAAATTGGCGACCTTCTACTCTAATACAAGCTCGGCACCTTTTAAGAAAAGACGCTTTTAGAGATCTTAAACTCAATTGGGCTATCTCAGCAGCAGCTCCATTTATTTGTTCCCGCAAATGCTCTTCGTTTTGAATTGTTTTTGAATAAATTTTGTCCTTAAGACAGCCCCAGTAGAAAA